ATTTCTTGAAGCAGTTTGTCTATTAAAACCGATAACTCGGAGCAACGTTTTTCCTCGGTCTTGACGAGGCTGCGCAATTCGGAGGTGGGTAAGGGTAGAACGATAGGTTCGTTGATTCTACGGCGGCCAGAGAGGTACTCGTCGAGAAAACAATCCATGATAGTTATGAATGGGCCTGGTAAAAAAGTTGAGATAAATCAGAGTGAAATCAATGGTATGTACATAGACTTACCAACGAAGCTGGTTTTTGAGAAGAAGGACAACTGTACATGTGTTTATAATTTGGGATTCAAACTCCGACGCCATTGTTCGCTGCCACTCCCTGCCACAGCACTTTTTGTCATCATAGGATAGGATAGGATAACCCAGCTCAAGTGCCCATTAGGATACAGCCGGGGGTCCACGCAACTATACCAGCACCATGGTGCGCCCTGGGCATCAGACTGCCTAGCGATGAGCTCAAACGTAACACGTTTCAGTCGGAGTTGAAACTTTTTTCTGAGTTTTAACCAAGCCGTCCGAGCCGAGTAGACCCGAAACCAAGAACCGCTCAGTTCATAGACTCTACATAGATCTATCCAGAGTAAGTCCCTGTCGATTAGTGGTTAAATCATCACGTTGTGGTAAAGGGATTGGGAGCTCTAATTATGGCAACCGTGGAGCCGGGAGCTCGAATCTCCCCAGGGACATATTTTGAGACTTTTGTCACGGTGGTCTTTACTTGAGTACTGATTAAACGAACTGATTATCGCTCCAATTTTTTTTACTTTGAGGATCCAGAAACAAAGACAAAACGTCGTTGGTTCATGATGTTCGCTTCTCCTTCCGTCCTCGATGACCAATAAATATTTAATGGCATACTGTACAGTATTTCAAGTTTCAGTAACGCTTACTCCCTGAACACCTCCGCTTCGTGATGCATAACAACACCAATTTCCTAAATGCTCTGAGTAATTTTATATATACTATCTTAATTGGAATAAATTTGTCCACATAAATTTTTTCTGTGCTCAGAAACACTTGCAATTGCATAGCAGCATAAATGCACAGTAAGATTGGCATAAGTTTTGTTAATACAGATATCACACTAGCCTAGTACAACATCCACTAAGGAGATCCGCGAGAGAAGTATCGGTCAGAGTAAGACTAAGAGTCCGAGTAACGATTTTTCCCAACCGTCACGCGTAACGGCATACCTTCCGTCTCGCAATCCTTCAGTCTTGACAGAACCTCAGGGCACAACTCTCTAGAGTACGCCCTAAAAGTGAAACCGTCCTTCAACCGCTTCACTGCTAGGACTCCTGTGGCCCTCTCGCCGTTGATGCCATCCTGTTCAGGACGCTGAGGCGGGTTCCATCTGGACAATACCATGTCCGCAATATCACTGTCGGTGTCAGGAGGGGGTTCACAGTAATCGGCGGGTTCCTTCCAAGATGGTTTCAGCGTTTGGACAATGCGAAGTCGAATGAGATTTGGAACAAGTGGTTCCAGAGTAGAAGATTCAACCTTCAGTTTCCGACAGAGAAGAGGGATGTCACATTTATAGTTATCTAGGTCGAGAATCTCGAGAGTTGGATTGAGCTTGAGAATCTCCACAAGAGCATCGACTATATCCGAAGATGGCGGCGATGTCTCGTATTCTGATAGTCGAAATACAAACTTTCGGAGCTGAAACCCTGACCGTTCCTGTAAATCGACGTAAAACGGCAGAAAAGGGATCAGGTGAAGGAAAGGTGGCAGCTTTATACTGAGTGACTCCAACTTTGGGAGGCAGAAATTGTTAAAAAAATCGGGGAAAACAGTTGAGAGGGTGAGATTTTTCAGACAAGGAAGATGAACTGGTGATGACAAATAAGAATCATCGTCACAGATCGGAAGGAGAAGCTGACAAGTCTCTAATAGAGGACAAGCGCACATGAATTCTAGGAAGGGGTATAATTGAAGAGACACCCCGTGCAGAGATAGAATGGTGATATTTGAGAGTGGAACTGGGAAGTCTGAGGGTGACACATCTTCGAACCGGGGATGGCGGTGAATTTCAATGTGTGTAAGTTTGGTGGCATTTCTGAATGCATCTTTGTGGATCTGCTGACTGTTGGTTGGGAGTGGCATGATAACTTGTTGGAGATTTGGAAGAGAAAGAGGGGGTCTATCCCAGTCGAAAAAAGAGTCGACTTCCACGTTGTACAAGGCCAGTGAGCGCCAGCGTTCGCAGTACGGGATGAGACATTCTAAGAGCCTCTCGCTTTGATCTTGTGTTCGACCATAATCAGGAATCTTGATCCCGATGTCGATTAATAAAGAGCCACTACGCTGCAACCATTCGTGTACGAGTTGCTCATCTGGAAGTGGTATGCGACTGTAGCCTGCAGAAAAGCAAAGCCGCGTCCATAGGCGCGGTGTGGATTGGATGATATTCCGCCATTGAATGCAAACTTGGGAGAGCAACAGAGGATGTGGGAGAGCGTTACAAGATGTTTTGGCCAAAGGACGAGCGGAGCTTGTTAAACCAACGCGGTCTTTTTCTTCTGTGCAGACTTCGGAAGTGGCATTCGGCTCGATGTAGTTCGTAAAAATCTCGGTCAACATTTCAGGAGGAAGTCGTCTGATAGGGGATAGAATATTTGTGACCCGCTTTATCTTCACCCTCCGCTCATCTATTTCTTGAAGCAGTTTGTCTATTAAAACCGATAACTCGGAGCAACGTTTTTCCTCGGTCTTGACGAGGCTGCGCAATTCGGAGGTGGGTAAGG